GGCACTTCTTCAGCAGACTTGGTATCATAGAAATTTCTGGTGATTTGGAGAGCAGAAGGGAGAGAATCTAGACAAGGCCACCTTTGCCTAGTATAGTCATCATAGCCCTCACAGGGTATGTCTAGAATTCTGCCCAATTTAGGTGCATCAAACTGCACCTCTACTCCCTTCACCAAGCTTGTAACAACCCCAAGAAGAAGTTAAGCTCACCCATCATGCTCATTTCAAACTCACTCCCCATTAGTTTTGCAAAATCTTTGCTTAGCTTGTCAGTTGTGGCCCCAAAGATTATGTCATCAACATAAATTTGTACAACAAGAAGGTCCTTACCTTTTTCCCTTAAGAATAAGGTACTATCTATTTTACCTCTCTTATACCCATGCTCCAGTAGGAACTTTGACAGTCTTTCATACCATGCTCTTGGTGCCTGTTTGAGTCCATAGAGAGCCTTGTCCAGCTTGTACACATGTTTAGGACATTCTTTGCTTTCAGACCCTGAGGGTTGTTTCACAAACACTTCTTCCTTTAAGTAGCCATTTAGGAAGGCACTTTTGACATCCATTTGATGAAGAGTGAATTCCATATGTGCTGCAAAGGCTATGAGAAGTCTGATTGCCTCTAGTATTGCAACTGGAGCAAATGTCTCATCATTGTCTATTCTTTCCTCTTGGCTGTAACCTTGGACTACCAACCTTGTCTCCTTGTAACAGTTCCATCTTCATCAAGTTTGTTCCTAAAGACCCACTTTGTACCAATGACTGATCTGCCCTTGGGTCTTGGAACTAGGTGCCAAACTTGACTTCTTTCAAACTGGTTTAGTTCATCCTACATTGCATTCACCCAATCTGCATCCTGCAAAGCCTCAACAATATTTTTAGGTTCAATGAAAGATAAGAAAGCATCAAAAGCACACAGATTCTTTAATTGTGATCTGGTTTTGACTCCAGATGTTGGATCAGTGAGAATGTTCTCAATGGGATGAGAACTTTGATACTTGTGAGGTTTTACAACCAACTGGCTTCTACTGGATGTTTCAGCCATTTGATGAGGAACCGGTTTATGAACATGTTCCTTCAAGGAGTTTATTTCAATTACTCTTTGACTTCTTCCCCCTGTCAGGTTGCTTTGTAAGGAAGAACCTGGTCCATCACCTGTTCCTTCTGTAGGTGTCACTTTGATTTGAGCTGATGCTTCAGCCAAGTCTTTGACCAGTCCAATGGCTTCATCTTCATGTTCCTGTCTCTCAGAAAGAATGTTAGTTTCATCAAATACTACATGCACACTTTCTTCTACACACAGAGTTCTTTTATTAAATACTTTATAAGCTTTACTATGTGAAGAATATCCCAAGAATACTCCCTCATCACTTCTGGGATCAAACTTTCCTAGGGAGTCTTTTCCATTATTGTGCACATAGCACTTGCAACCAAATGCCCTAAGATGGGATATATTTGGTTTTCTCCCTCTAAGTAACTCATAGGGAGTCTTCTCTACTAGAGGTCTGGTCATGCATCTATTTATGATGTAACATGCAGTGTTTACAGCCTCTGCCCAGAAACTGTGAGGCAATTTGCTAGATAGTAACATTGTTCTAGCTATATCCTCAAGAGTTCTATTTTTCCTTTCAACTACTCCCTTTTGTTGTGGAGTCCTAGGTTCAGAGAAGTTGTGATCTATGCCATTTTCATCACAGAACTCAGCAAATTTAAAGTTTTCAAACTCAGTTCCATGATCAGACCTAATGGATGCAAGTTGATTTCCTAATTGTTTCTGAGTTTTCCTAAGAAATGCAGAAAACATGTCAAATGCTTCATCTTTGGAAGTTAGAAATAAAACCCAGGTGAATCTAGAATAGTCATCAACTAGCACCATTACATACTTCTTTCCACCTCTGCTCATGGATCTCATTGGACCACATAGATCCATATGAACCAGTTCCAACGTCTTGGACGAACTTACCATTTTCTTGGATTTGAAGGATGACTTTACCTGCTTCCCCCTTGCACATGCCTCACAAACTTTGTCTTCCTTGAATTTGATATTAGGTAACCCTATAACCAAGTCCTTGGAGACTAATTTGTTTAGCTGATTTAGACTTACATGACCAAGTCTTTTGTGCCACAGGAGGGGATCACTAACCAACACACTTAAACAAGTGAGTTCATTTTCTGAAAGAGTGGACAAATCTACAATGTAAATATTGTTAACTCTTTTTCCCTGCAAAACAATCTTGTCAGTGATAAGGTTAATCACAAAGCATTTGGTGGAGGTAAAAGCCACAAGGTTACCTCTGTCACACAATTGTGACACACTTATTAGGCTATATTTCAAGCCATGTATGAGGTAGACATTCTCTATAGAATGAGAATTTGATTTGCCTACCTTTCCAACCCCAATGATCTCACCTTTCTTTCCATTACCAAAGGAGACATTACCTCCCTTTAGGTCCTCAAGTAAAGGAACTGGTCCTTGTCCCCAGTCATATGTTTTGAGCAGCCACTGTCCATATACCATATTTGACTCCTCCCTTTCACTTGGACCTGCAAAAGGAAATCAGGGGTTAGTCTTAGGAACCCAAACTAGTTTGGGTCCCTTTCTATGGGCAAAAGGATGAATCAGATTCTTCTTGCCCAACTAGGCAGCTTGTGCTTTTCTTGAACAAAAGCTTTGTTTCTTTGACTGGCCTTTTCTTTTGCATTA